ACTGAGACTCTGAGACTCTGAGAGTCAGGCTCTGTTAGCGTGACAGTGCTGTCTTAACTCCACAGCCGCTAAGCAGATTCTGTGACCTCACTCAGACTGTGACCTCACTCAGACCTACAGGACTCATACGGCTTTATGAATTCATATTTCATTAAATTGTACATGGCTGTGTTCGGGGTTTAAGTCCAAACTCCAGCAGTAATGATTAGTCAGATTAATACTGAACGTCCCTCTCGCTCCAAAGCCATTTTCAGCCGGGCTGCCAGCTGGCACTGCGCAGCTTTACTGCAACATCTGGAGAACTTTTCATCTGGATTTACTGTTTAGCATCACTGCCCATACAGGGTAATATATCACTGAACAGAAATCATATTGTTATAGGAGAAGAGAATAAGTCTTAACTTTAATGTACATTAATGTGTAAAGTAATGGTGGAGATTTTGTGTAAAAAAACATTTGGTGTTTTCTAATTAAACATTTCAAACATTAAACATTTCAAATTAATTTAATTGATATGGCAGCCGTGATATAGACAGTGTGTTTATGTGCCAATGTATGCAAATGAACAAACATGTTGTGATTAATGTATTATTGTGTTTGGAATGCATTTAGGAATTTTAGTTTGTAAAAATATATATGGCCACATACACTGACCGGCCACTTCATTAAACCCATCTCCTTGTTTCTACACTCACTATTTTATCAGCTCCACTGACCGTATAGTTTCACTCTGTAGCTCTACAATTACAGACTGTAGTCTGTCTGTTTCTCTGCATACTTTGTTACCCTGTTCTTCGTTGGTCAGGACCCCCACATATTATTTGGGTGGTGGATTTTTTTTTTCTTTTTTGAAAATGGTTCTATATGGCACCAAAAAGGGTTCTTCTATTGTTACAGGCTTGGTTCTTTGAGTGTTCATTGTCTTTACTGCAGAACACCCTCTTTTTCAAGGACATATATTTATATTCTATTTATTTATATGTGTATATATATATATATATATATATATATATACACATATATATATATATATATATATATATATATATATATATATATATATATATGAACTGGGAAACAAATTGGGGGTTCCAAATTGTTTCCCAGTTTAGTCGGGAGTTCCCTCCAGTCAGACAATATCACCAGCGATAGGAAGGCAATAGCTAGCACAGGCTTCCGCTGAGTCCTGTGAAGCTGAACGCACTCGGAGGAGAACACTAACCACCAGATCTGTTACGTCAGCTAACAGACGCCTGCGTTGACTAGCATCACGCTGAGTGATGGGGGGAGAAGAGGGGGCCATCCTACCCACCCAGAGAGAAAGGACAACTGTGCTCTCTTGGACTCCTGGACAGGTAAGGCTGTAGCATCATCGGGGATTGAACTTGTTATCTCCTGATAACAGGGCCAACTAATTTAATCAGATAAAATATTTGTTGTCAGATGAACTAGGACTCTGTCGTCCCTCTGTGTGTGAAATGTTGAGCTGCTTGTGAGCAATGAGGGGAGAAGGAGGAGGGGTGAGAAGCCCCTGCTGTGAAAAACTATTCACACCTCTCCACAAAGATGGCCATGCTGAGATAAGATGGAGAAATGCAGCTTTTTACATATCAGACACTCCTGCACAACCAACACGATGAACAACAATTTAAAAACATTAACTTTTACACATTTTGATTTGCTGGATCACCTGTGAAGATGAAAGCCCAGTTCTCTTACAAGATGTACACATTTCTATCAATGGCTGTGTTTATATGCAAAGACTTTCTCCAATCCGATTAAATACACTCAGATTACAGATTAAGACTGAGGTGTTTATTCTCATGCTACTCAACAATCTGATAAAAATCTTTATATCCACACTACAAGTCATCAGATCCAAAATGACACGCATGTGTAGAGAACCACGTAGTGTAGACGTTACCATGACAACCAGCATCACGTGAGTCCAGTCAGAGTGAGACGAGCAGCAGTGAGCAGCGCTTGTGTTTTTAATCACTTTAAAATGATGTCAGACTCAGGAAAACGTCCTTCACATGTCCTTATTAAAGAAGGCCGAGAGGAAGACGTCGTGTCCTGAGACACATAAGCTGGACGTCCGTCCCACCGCCGTCTTTTAAAGATCAGAGCATAAACTTCGTCTCCTCTGCAGACCAGTTTCTGCTCCGCCATGTTGAACGGTATAAACTTTCACTATGACGCGACGAACATGATCAGAACGGACTTAAACTTTCCGATAGGGAATGTAATCAGATACAGGCGTTTACACAGATATTATTCTTCTATTTAACGGATTATTTACAGGATCACCCACCTCGATCAGTCGGATAGAAACTGTATTCTGAATGGCCTCAATCGGACTAGATTATTCTGACTGAGGTGTTTATGTGGACGTATTCTATTCCGATCAAGCTATTAGTCGGATTATTAACAGATTATTAGGCTGCATGTAAACATGGCTACTGTTGTTGAAGGAAAATTCAGGGAGCTCCAAAACAGGCAGAAATGACACTGTGTGGTTGCTGTGAGGAAGGAGTTAAGAATGTTTTTCCTGTAAAATTGCCATTTTGGAGGGACAAGGTTTTAGTCTGACAAACAAAAAATATGTGAACGGTAGCACTTTATTTGGATGGTCCACTGTAGATTCTTTGTAAATGTTCAGTGTGTATTTAACTAACATTAAACTGAATAGTCATTAAATGCCACTGAACTTGAAGTTGAATGTTACTTAGATGCTCAGCGTGTCTTTCAGTAACATTCAACTAAATACCCATTAAATTCAACTGAACTTGAAGTTCAGTGTGAGAGTTTATTAAATCTATACCTAACCCTAAACCTAACCCTAACCTTAACCTCAAGGCAAAATCTACATCTACGCCCAACCCTAACCATGATGTTGTTGGTAATCAACTGAACATCACCAGAAAGTTTGTTTTAATGATTTAGGTATCTGTAGAGCATCTAAAGGAGACCATCCAAATAAAGTGTGACCACGAACCTTTTGGAATGACCTAGTTTTCTGCATTAATTGGTCATAAAAACAATGGAGCAAATGCAAGCACAAAAACCTAGACCTTTCTGGAACTCTGAGAAAAGACAGACACAGACGAAGGTGAACAGCTTGTGTCTTTATAACAAAATAAGAGAAACTGTCACATTATGACAACAGAGAGAGTGAAATTCAGTAACAGTGCTAAATGTGACAGGAGGAGTGTTTTAGAGCTAACATTCATCCTTCCTGCAGATACTGAGAACTCATTGAGATGGTATTCTACATCTTTAATCACCATAAACAGAGCTGAAAAGCAGCTGGGATCTACTTTCCTTCTGTCACATGGAGAATCAACTCGCTTAGGATTCAAATTTAAAAACAAAATAACACTCAGATTAAGGTTCAGTGGAGTAGCTCTGCAGAAAATTACACTAATTTACACAATTTCCCCCAGAAACCACATAATAAAGTCTAGTAGAGATACTGAACAACTCAACACGCTTTGAGGCTGTAGGCATACAGTTAGCACCATGCTAATTGGTGGGGTATAAGCGTCCATTACTTGTTAGCTACATTAGCCAGGCGAGCCAGGCGACAGGGCAGAATGGAGGGCAAGCGAATCTATAACACTAAACCTAATGAGTTAACAAGAAAGACGTTTGTAATCCAGACACAGAAAGCTAAATCAGCCATATACCCTGGATTGATTGATGATGGGTTTAAAGGTGCAGTGTGTGAGATTTTGGGGGATTTATTATCAAAAATGGAATATAGTAACAAAGCCATGTCTTCATTAGTGTATAATCACCTGTACCTATGAATTGTTATGTTCTCATTATCTTTAAATGAGCCCTTCATACCTATATAGTGAACGGCTCCTCTTCCAACAGAGGCGGCCATGTTGCGCCACCATGTTTCTACAGTAGCCTAGAATGAACAAACAAAACACTGTCTCCAGAGGGCGCCTTTCGCATTTCTACGCTGAAGCAGCAGCCTGAATTTGGTGGCGCTGTAGCTCCAGCTGGAAGACATAGAAAGAAGAAGAATCAGTGGAGCCGCCGGTGCTGCTGACCATTTTACGTTGTGATAAGTTTGAGAAGCCAAATCGTGACAAATGGAGGATCACACTTATTATTTAGCACAAGAACAAGAGGATGAATCCTCACCATCAAAGAAGAGAAAACATAAAGAAGTGAAACGAAATCGGGATAGATGGCGGCAGAAAACCTGACAGCCAACGTAGGTTCTACTGCACGCTTGGAAAGGGAGGGGTGAGGGAGGGGGATTCAGCTGGGTGCAATCTGCACCCTCACCACTAAATCTTACACACTGCACCTATAATAGGGAGTCTGGTCTTCTACAATGTTTATTCCAGATCTTTGTGAGGACTAATCTGTTTGTAAAGATGAAAGTAAACTGAAATGTTAAAAATCATAATGTCCAAAGTTGACGGCGCAGGAAGATCCAGTTGAGACCTTTTGCCTGTTGTGGTACAGAGCCTGGTTGGGGGAAACTGGGTAAATTAGATTTGTTTTGCAAAACTATCACTTTAAAGACAGTAAACAAGATCTAAGGGATGTTAACGTGATGGTGCATGTCTGTGATTGGTGAGAGCAGTGATGCCTATCAGGGACATCCTGTGTTTTGGTGCAATCACAGTCCGATAAAACCACTGAAATCAGACAGCCTGTGGTGAAGTGAGATCAGACCAGAATAAGGACGAAAAGGCTGTCTTGTGTTTAGGGCTACAACTAACAGTTATTTCTATAATCTATCAACTATTATTCAATTAAGTGATTAACTATGCTGCCCTCAGTCAGAAGGAACGCATGGATCATATGAACATTATCGCCCCCTACACTTCCTGTAGTGTATTACAGTCTGTCAGAATGACTGTGTGGATCATATGAACATTATAGAGCTTTTTAAATGAAACAGTAGAAGCCATATCGCCCCCTACACTTCCTGTAGTGTATTACAGTCTGTCAGAGTGACTGAGTGGATCATATGAACATTATAGAGCTTTTTAAATGAAACAGTAGAAGCCATATCGCCCCCTACACTTCCTGTAGTGTATTACAGTCTGTCAGAGTGATCATTGATGTTGACTCAGTCCAGTAAAGCCCTGTTTGTGTTACACTGTCGTCTCGATGTTTTCAATGATCTCCACGGTGGATCTGGAGGGTGAAAGCAGAGCACATCCGTCCTGCTCCCACAGACTACTGGGACTGGACACTCTCTCCTCGCTCAGCTCATCTTCCTCTTCCTCAGACTCTTCCTCACATGACTCCAGGTAGGTTCCGCCCACTGTGTTAATCCCAGAATCCTCGGAGCTCGATGGAGACGAGCAGTGGTCCATTTTAGGTCCTTCAACTGTATCCTTATCAACGTGTTCAGTCTGATGGTGTCTGGCGCCAGCGTCCTGTTTGACTGAATCCACAGAATGCTGTCCGGTCTGAGCATCCCGTTGATGAGGATTGGCCGGGTGAGTCTGAGGGGGCGGGGCCAGTGGAGGAGGATTGGGCGGGGCGTCCGTCAGAGGCGGTGGCCTCTGGACGTAGCACATCTTGCCGTTGATGCGTTTGACAATGTAGTCGTCGATGAAGAGCTCAGCGATGTTGCAGTATCTGGGGGATTCTGGGTAAAGTGGTGGCCGGAAGCAGGGGGCGATCCGCAGGAAGCGTTCGGTCAGAGAGATGGTCAGGTCAATGGTGTCCGTGTAAAAGGTCGGGGCAGCTGGGATAGCGGTGCTGGGTAACTGACCCACACTGGTCATGGGCTGGTAGACGTATTTACCTGCACACACAGACAGAAACAGTTAACATGCAGCACATTAAAACTGGGCTGATGATACATCACTGTGATGATTACTGATCTTAGAATTAGCACTTCGAAAGCTGGAGAGCTAAAGCTATGTTATTAGTAGGTATGTTAGCAGTTTGTTGTCATGGCGAATTGTGTGAGTTCATTTTTTGCTACACTCAGTTTAAGCAGGGCTCCTTCTGTAGCAGCTCCTCCATATCTCAGCTATCTACTGCAGTCAGCAGGTGTCTGAGTGAGCTCGGCCTGTTTAAGCCTAATGAAACTCCTCTGAAGGACGAGTCAGCGTCTTTCTCCATGTGCTGAAACAACGGGCCATCTGCCCCCAGCTCAGCTCGGCTCGGCTCGGCTCAGCTCAGCTCAGCTCAGCCTGCTGAGGAAACTGCCTCACTTCTCTTTGGAAGCACACAGACGCTCTGCTGACCAACAAGTTTAGCATCTACAAGTAGTTAAAACATGGAAAAGACTTTACACAACAGTGTTCATACACCCCCCACCCAGGCCCTGAGACCTGAACACTGAGGTGTCTGATCCACTCGCACCAGCTCAACACACACTAGCACACCACCACCACGTCAGTGTCACTGCAGTGCTGAGAATGATCCACCACCCAAATAGTACCTGCTCTGTGAGGGTCCATGGGGGTCCTGACCACTGAAGAACGGGGTAACAAAGTGTGCAGAGAAACAGATGGACTACAGTCTGTAACTGTAGAACTACAGAGTGACACTATGTGGTCAGTGGAGCTGATAAAATGGACAGTGAGCGTAGAAACAAGGAGGTGGACTTAATGAAGTGGCCGGTCAGTGGTCAGTGTAGGTGGGAGTAACTGTGTGTTACTGAGCGCTCCTACAGTTACAGCCCTTCTACAGCTGGAGAGTGATTTTGTCTGCAAACACAGTGAAAGGAGAGACAGCAGCGTCACTGCAGGACAACCTTCCACCCACTACAGCAGCTCTCTGTCTGTCTGTCTGTCTGTCTGTCTGTCTCTCTGTCTGTCTCTCCTCTCTCTTTCTCCCTCTCTCTCTGTTCTCTCTCTCTCTCTCTGTCTCTCTCCCCCTCTCTCTCTCCGTCTCTCTTTCTTTCTGTTCTCTCTCTCTGTTCTCTCTCTCTCTCTGTCTCTCTCTCTCTCTCTGTCGCTCTCTCTCTCTCTCTGCTCTCTCTCTCTGTTCTCTCTCTCTCTCTGTCTCTCTCCCCCTCTCTCTCTCTGTCTCTCTTTCTCTCTGTTCTCTCTCTCTGTTCTCTCTCTCTCTCTGTCTCTCTCTCTCTCTCTCTCTGTCTCTCCCTCTCTCTCTGTCTCTCTCTCTCTCTCTCTGTTCTCTCTCTCTCTCCCTCTTTCTCTGTCTCTCTCTCTCTCCCTCTCTCTCTCTGTTTCTCTCTATATCTCTCTCTCTCTCTCTCTGTTCTCTCTCTCTGTTCTGGAAAAACATTTTTCACACCTAAAAGACTGTTCTTCAAGGGTTCTTCAGTAAAGATGGTTCAAAACAGCACCATAAAGGGCTCTTCTATTATCACAAGCTTGACATCAGAGCACATCATTGGTGCTATACAGAAACCTTTGCAAAAAGGTTCTAAACAGAACAATCTACAGCACATTCTTTGAATGTTAATGGTTCTTTATAGATCAGATTGATGGAGAATGTGTGGTATATGGTTCTATATAGAACCTTTTTGAAAAGGGTTCTGTATAGCACCAAAAAGGGTTTTGCTATTGTTATGAAACAAACTTGTTACAATAAAAGCAAGCTTTTTGGTGCTGTATAGAACCCTTTCCCAAAAAGAAAGAACCATCTATAGCACATTCTCCATCAATCTGGAGAACCATTTTATGATGCAAAGAACCCTTTAATCATGCAAAAAGTTCTTTGAGTGTTAATGGTTCTTTATAGAACCATTTTCTTTACTAAAGAACCCTTGTAGAACCACCTTCTTTAAGAGAGTAGAGGTAGATTATACTGTATAAACACCTCACTGTACATCTACTGTAATATTACTGTAATGATTACTGCAATAATACATCAAAACACGCAGTGTATTCAGCTTTACTGTTAAACCAGACACCAGATAATAAAACAGGACTTATTCATATATGGATGATTCTGCTGAACTGGTTCAGAGTCAGAGCTGAAACACATTTTAACTGATCTTGGACTTAAGACTAAAACCCTTTTGCTCTGAGTGACTCTAAACCTTAATTATGTTTACTGTATTAAAACTAATGACTGAACATTCCATTCTGTCTCTACCTAATCAATCATAACTCTACCAAACTTTACCAAATGTGTCAGTAGTGACTGTTTCAGTGACAATTTTAGCTCATTAGCTCAGAAACTCAGCAGTTCATGTGTTCAGCTTTGAACAGCTGTTCACACAGAAAATCATCATATTTTACATTAAAACACTAAAAAGTGCTGAACTGCAGAAAATATGACGATTCTTAATGTTCCACACTGACTTTCAGACTTTGGGACACATTTACTTCAAAACAATGGGATCTAACTGCTCACCATGTGGCCATGAGGGACAATGATGCAGCCTCACTTCCTGCTCTAAAATGCAGGGGCATGGCTAAAACAAGGCTCCGCCCACAGACTAAAACTCTTTGTTTTAGTAGTGACATGAAAACAGGGAGCAGCATCTATCTAATAAAAAAATTAAACTCATGATCAGTCCAAATCTTTCTACTTAAATAAAAAAATCAAAAAGCTATTTTTAAAAATGATTTTTAATGTAAGTATTATTTTCAGAAGTGTAAATTAGGGGTTGGGGTTTGGGACAGACTCCTCCCAATAAAAAGAACCCTATAAATGATGATTGTGTATATATTTATGTTATGTTTATTACTGTCTCTATTAAAGCCGTGGATTTAAATAGAACACAGTCCTTGTAAACACCTAAGATCTGAAAACCTAATTGTTTATATTTGATTTTTTGTGCTGTGTTCTATGAATTAATGCAGTAGAACGGTCCACACAGGCTCTTTATCATCACTTGCATATTGAACTGAAGTGGAAAACAATGATTTCAGCATATTCCTCTGTGCTGCGCTTCACAGCCGAGGCCCCGTCCGTCCGCTCTGGCACCGATTCACAGATTTCCGCTTCTTTCTATCTGCAGATTTGGACAAAGAGTCTTATCTCTGAGCCAGAGTGGCGTTTGGCAGCTGGAGCGGCGGCAGCAGGAGGAGCTCCGCTCTGTTCACTCTGCAGACACTGAGCTCAGTCTACAGCGTCTGCAGCACAAACTGCACTGATCATCACTCGCCTTCACAGCCCGTATCACACCGAACACACACACTCAGAAAAGCTCACTGAAGAGCTGAGCTTCTTCAGTTTAGCACTGGAGCTACGAGGCTGACGGGTAATAGAGGTTTAGTCCTCGCTAATTCAAAACTGCTGCTACTGCTGTTCTCTAATCAGAGCGTCTCTCCTTTACCATCTTTCACTGAAACCACTGTTAATGAGCAGAACTACACGTCTGAGTGCAGCCTATCAGAGCAAAGAGGGTGATAAAGGGGCGGGGCTTAAGCTAGGACACACCCAAGCTCATTTGTGTGGTTTTATTTATCAAAGATAGTCATAATTCATTTCTGCAGGTCCATTTTCTATCCTCACTTTATACCTCAGAATTAAACAGGCTGTTTTTGTTACTGTGCCTTTACGACTGATATATGTAAATGAGCTTTGTTCTGATTGGCTGTGCCTTACTCAAAAGGCAGTCTGGGCGGAAACACTGAAATAATCCCTATAATTTAAGTGAACAGGCCGTGCTGAATTGCTGTAGGCTGAATTTTGGGTCATATATATATATATATATATATATATATATATATATATATATATATAAAACACTGCTGTCTGAACAAAATTTCCATTTCTGTCATTTTTCAGTTTTTGACATTATTTGAAATTTGAAAATGCCTGTTAGTCTTTACATTGTATGTAAATTTCATGATGAATGGAACAAAAGAAATGACCCAAAATTACTTGGAATAAATTCTGGTTCCATTGACTTACATTAAAAGTAAAGTAGGTTTTTTTCCTTCCCCTGTAAAATTACTATTTAGGAGATATGAGGTTTTGTTCCGACAAAAGCGATATGCAAATATACTGTTTCACAAAAAGAATGAATTGTCTTTTTGTTTGTTTTTGCAGTTTAGGTTCCATATCTGCAGTGTTTAAGGTGTGGCCCTTTGGCACGTATATTTTCAAAACTCAATTTGAATTGAATACTGTGAATCGGGAATTGGATCATTATATTGTTCCAGCCATTTCACAGATCCTAGAGATCCAAATCAGCTCTGAGCACAGCTGTATTAGAATAAACAGCAGCAGAGTAAGGAACGACTGAAGAACCATCCACTGAGGTTCCACATGCATCTCTAACATAATCATCATCATCATCATCATCATAACTGGTTTTAACAAACCTGAGGAGCTGTAATCGGCTGCGGGTTTATGTCCTGCTCAGTGTGATTAGAGAATAAGGGAAGCTCCTATCTTCTGCGTTTGCTTTAGCAGTAACCTTCACATTAGTGCCGCATGACTTAAAGATTGAATGGTGATTCCAGAGAGAGCGATTAGCTCCACGGTGCCACCACAGACGACGGCAGGCGCAAAAACACACTACATAATTCATCTGATCATCTATCACAGTTCAAGGCAGTCAGTTTACCCTGGGCCGAAAGCTCAGAGTGAGATTCATCAGCGACTGTTTCTCAAAAGTTAAAGCAAAACAACTTCTGTCATTTCTAAATGTGAAGAAACACTTCAGCCCCCCCCCAAATCCCGTTACCCCAGATGTAGTCGATTAGCCGAGACTCGCTTGACGTCTGAAGTTTCCTTCTATAGTTTTTGCACTGGAGCTACGAGGCTAATGTAGCTAACAAGGAAGGGTATGTATGCTAATGAGCATGTTGCTAGCTGAATGTCTGAACCATCACTCCTTCACTTTAAACATGCAGTAACAACAAACAT